TTGATGGAGTGGTGACCACTAGCTTGGGAAATTTTGCTCTCTCTTTCACCTTGTCAGGGCATCCCTGTTTTGCGAGGAATGGGCTGGAACTGCTCACAAAAGATTTGACAATCTGACCAGCAGAGCAGGCCTTTCAGGGGGCTCCATTTCACCACTTGATTGAGAGGGAAAAGAAAAAGCACTAAAGAATTTCTGGTTAGAAATGGCCATCTTTGAGTTGAAAATGTTACTGGACACGTCGGAGGTATTGTGCAGCACAGCAAAGCTCCCTATGTGCTTTCCTATGTTAGGTTTGTGTTCTGTGAGGTATGTCTTTAATGAGGAAAGTGAATAAAATTACTTAACCTTCCTAATGTCTGAAAATAGGTAACTAACAAAAAATATATATCAGAAAAAAAATACCACAAATTCACCTGTGTGGAAAATAATAAAAAGCCTTATTGAAGTTAATTGGTATGTTCTTAGAATTTTTGGTTTTGTTTTTTTAGCATACAGAATATTTTGGATGATAGTTAATTGTGCCAGTAAGTAGTGCCCAGTTTTTTTTTAATATAGCACTGCTGGCATCTCTGAAAACCAAGTAAATGGATATAAATGTAAAATTGTATTTACTCATGTTGAAAAGTGATAATTAGCCTTAAGGTCTTCTGTCTGCTGAACAAGTGTTTAAGCAGCTAAAGTTCCCATGGCATTTGCTATTGGATGTGTGGGACCTCAAACCTACGTTAGTAGAGTGCAGTGGGGCAGGAGATGGGTTCTGTGTCAAGAGCCTTATTCTTCTCTTGTTTTTCCATGAAACCTCCTCAGTGGGTATCTGTGCATTTGTGAGTGATTGGTTTTTTTGACACAGGTTCTTCACTAGAAGTTGTAGAGATTTTTCCACATTATCTGTGCTCTGCTTCATTGTGGGAAGATTGCCTTCTCCCAGTTGTTGCTTTTGGTCCTTGTCTACACAGTTCTTCAAGCTCTTGATCCAAACAAGGTTGGGTGTTTGGTTTTGGCTTTTTTTGGATCCAAGAGTGATTGAGGAGCAGTGGAGTGAGCACAATCTGTCTCCTAGATTTTGTAAGCCACCCAAATCCCCTTTTAAATATAGTTATTAGTTACAGTTTGTATTTTGTAAATATTTTCTTTGCAATGATTTATGGCTCTTAACCTCCTCAGTATGATTCACAACGTTTTGGACCGCCTGCTTCCTGGGGGAGAGAATGGGGGGTTGGTTTTTGTTTGTCTGGAACTTGGATCTGAAGCGGTTCCAGTTCTAGAAGCAAGTGGGAGATGGAAACAGAATGTGCTGGGTATTAATAATCTCTGTGTTGGTGTGTTGCACCATGTCTGCCTTGCCAGGGAGGCATCCCTCTGTCTAGCCACACAGATGAGATCTGCTTGGAGCTCAGGTGGTGCTGGAGCCCCTGCCTCCCTGCTGCTGAGGGGAAATCCTCAGCAATTGCTTGTTCACCTGCATTAGGATAGAGACCAGTTGAGAGGTGGGAAGGTGGTTGTAGAGCTGCCCCCAAACCTTTTGGAACACTCTCATGTTTCCAGGTGTCCTCCTCCCCTTTTACATGTCTATGTGCACAAGGGTAATCTGTGCTTTTCTTTGCAGCTGCCTCTTCTTGCTTAGGGTTTCCTTGCTGCTGGCAGGTGTAAGGGAAAAGCTGACCTAGGGGCACAGGCAGCAAGGAGTTAAAAGTGAAGCATATGCTTTGCTGTCCTGAGCTCTGATGTGCTTCTCAGTGACCTTGAGCAGAGCTCAGAGCGTTCCTGTGCAGGCATGAATGGCATTATCACCTGCATCAGTGCATGGTACACAGGCTGTGCTGAGGAGGTGCAGTGAATCCAGTACTGTTCCTAAGTGTGAGACCTTTGTTGCAGTGTGTTTGCATTCCCTGATGAGAGGCATTGGGACCTAGGGAATGTGTATTAATGCCCTTCTGGGCTGGCTCTCTGGAGAGGTCTCTTTCTTCACTGGGAAGTGCTGACATGAGGCCAGGAGCTTGAATGCCCTGTGGGGAAGGAGTCAAGGTGGGGAGTGAGCACTTGGTGAAATGAGGGCTTTCATCATCTGGTTTGGTCAGGGTAGCACAGCTGCCAGGCTCTGTTGTGTGGTGCCTGAGAACAGGCTCCAGGCCCTTCCTTTCATCTCCTTCCTAATGAATTAAGCCAAGGAATAACTGTAAAAGGGAAAAAAAAAATATCTGAAGAGACTGGTTTTTTCATTTACGTTGTAGTTGAATGTGTGGCAGTGGACAAATGTACTGAGCTAATGTTACAGTGGTGGAAAGTTCAAATCTTACCTTAGGGCCATGGATGATAGAGATGAGGGAGCTACAGCATAGAGAAGAAGATATTTAATTTTATGCTACTACTGAAAAATTAGGCTATGTGAAAGCATGAAAAGCATTTGGAGTCTCTCAGTGGAGTTAAAAACGTAACAGTGGACCAAGATCCCTTTTTCCTTCTATCATTTCTTCTCTTTGAAGCATTTGTCTCACTGTGCACGTCTCACGTGCTGCAGAATGAGTCCTGTGTAGCAGCAGCTCTCTGCCATATGCAGGAACAGCTGTGAGTGCTTTTGTGCAGGCCACTGTACATGATACATTGCACCCTTGGTAAAGGAGTTCTGCCCTCTGTCTGGGAGAAAATGGATGGGAGAGGAGTGCAAACAACATTCTGGCTTCCTCCCCTCTGGAAACACCCGATCCACTCCTGTGCAACCTATATTTTAATGTAGCTGTCCCTTTTAGCAGGAGTATTGGTGATTTTTGGGAGTTACTTTGGAGTACTTACTTGCAGGTGTTGTATGCAGTGGTGATAGATAAGCTACTCCTGTGTTTTGTCCTTCTTGGACAAATTTGCCCTGAGGAGCAGAGGACTCTGATGGAGGCATAAAAATAAGTAACCACTAAGTAGCTTGGTGTGATTTAATTGCAAGCCAGCTTCATTGATTCCTCCCCTAGGGTGTACTCTCTATGAGTTTGGAGAGCCTTTTTGTCATAGAGGTGAGGGAAGGAGAAGAGGTCGAACATGCAGGGGACAGCTTTTGGATAAGATCAAAAGGAAGTTTCTAAAATTTTTCTCTAAAATTTGATGTTTGGGGGTAATTGAGTCTTAGACAAATAAAAATGCTTCATTCTACAAGGCTTCTCCTGAGACTTGCACAGCTATGGGAAGTAGACATATTTGTCAGGGCAGTGTTGTCATTCTTCTGATCAGAGATAATTTATGTTAACCAGATCAAACATGTTTTGTGCTGCATGCACAACTCTACTGAAATGAAATGGAAAGCTGCCACTGCTCTGCTCAGCATGGCAAGACCCCAGTGCTCACTGTTTGCTTGCTCTTGTCTTTGTATATACACTTGCTTTGTAATCAATATGCGAGTTCAAGGTCATATCTTTAAGTGGTATTTCTAGGCAGAAGATATTTTCTTAGTTGCCAATTGAGTTTGTCTGTGAAGACATGTTTCCAAATGTTTGTGAAGTGTTGTATACTGAATTATGTGCAGAGCAACCTAGCAAGTCCAGTCAGTGGTTGGGGAATTGGTGTGGGCAACTCCCCTCAGGTTTCTTTCATGTTTGGTACACAAATTGCATATTTAAAACAGGTGGAAAGAAGGACCCAAACCAGCAAAAACCTCAGCCCTTACATCTTTAAGGCCCACATGTTTTCTTGGAAGTGCCTTAAAAAGACTGACTCTTAGCAATTACAGTCCTTGCCTTATTGTAGGACTTCTTTTTACTTGATGGGTTAAGGGGGAGGTCAGGTTGGCATCTAAAGAGTTGAAATTACACTTTAAAGGGCATCACACGGGTAGTCAAAGCTTAACTCCTGGGAGTCTGAGGCAAGCAGCAGGAGACAGAGTGAGTGGGTGGGTGCTCTTTGAATACCTTGGCCTGTCAGTGAATGCAGTTGGAAAGGGACAAGAGCAATAAAACCGACTAAATTGTAGTCTGCTTTGTTCTGTGGCTCTGAGGTTTTGAGGTCATCTTTCTCACTAAAGTGTGAAAAATGCTATTTTCTCATCAAGCCATTTTGCAAAGGGGCCTTGCCTTTATATTTGGTGCTGTGCTCAAATTTTAGCTCTTTTCAGTCTAAGCTCACACAAGCAGCTGAGGTTCTGTTCCCTACTTTTCTCCTGCCAGTAATCTCTATGCAGGCATTAGGACTCTCGTCTGGCACACAGATCTCCCTTTTCCTTCTGCCTGCTTCTTCACTTTTTCTGTGAACAAATACCCCTGGTGTACCCCTTGACCTCTCTTTGCCATGCCAGTCAGCACTTGAGAGCAGTGGAACAAATTGCCTTTCTTAGCTGTGGAATTGGTAGCAAAAAGCAGGACTTGGAGTTTTTCTAAATCTTGCAGTGGTGATGACTGTTTCCTGTTCCTGGGCTCACTTAAATGTATGCAAAAAGTTAATCAGAGACATCCGTAAGCTGTTCCTATATGGATTTTACCATTTAATTATAGACCTTCTTTTAGGGTAATGTTTCTCTGAAGGGAGCTTGACAGAGCAGATGCCGTTTTGCCTCGGGATGCACTTCTGGTATTGGCCCAGTGAAGAGCTGCCACTTCAGCTGTGGGATTTTGATGATTGCATGAACATCCTGCCACATGAGATTAGAGTGGCGGTGCTACCTCCCAGCTCCAGGATATGAGAGATCCGTCTCTTCATTAGAGCTTTCATATGGTAGCAGCTGAAGTGAGGAAGAATGGGCTAAAAGAGAGAAGCAATTTAAGAAAACCAAAGACAAATCTACTAAGCTGGAAGGTGATAGGAGGGGAGGGAGGCTGAGATCTCATTAGTGTTTACTCATGGAAAGGGAGGGGAAGAACAACAGATCGATTGTTAAGTGCTACTGGGTTTATCAAAATAATTGCCAGGTGCTAGATGGCTCCATTGCAAGTGCAGTGCTGATACCTAACAAGGGGCAGACAAGACATGTGAAAGGAAATTGTGATTTCTGCTCATGCTCACACTTTTGTCTTTTCTGATTTCAGCAGACAGAAGGAGGGGCACAGACGGATGGACAGCAATCACAGACACAGAGCAGTGAGAATACTGAGAGCAAATCCACTCCAAAACGACTTCATGTGTCTAACATTCCCTTCCGCTTTCGAGATCCTGACCTTCGGCAGATGTTTGGGGTAAGTTATGAGCACCTCTTCAGGCATGGCAGATTCTCCTCCTCCTCCACAGGTGGGACATCTGGTGCTGTGTATTTGTGTGAATGAAAAGCCCTTCCCCCTCAGTTTAGTCAGCACACTGTAATATATTTGCAGGAGTAGAACAATTGGTAGTGTTTAACTTAGCTGGTTAATACACATGAGAACTATAACAATGGTCTTCCTATTAAGATGTTCATAGAATCATAAAATGGTTTGGGTTGGAAGGGACCTGAAACATCATTCAGTTCAAATACCCCTGCCATGGACTGGTACATCTTCCACTAGGTGTGTTTAAAGCTCAATCCAGCCTGGCTATGAACACCTCCAGGGATGGGGCATACACCACTGCTTGGGGCAACCCACAGCTTCTCTGAGCAGCAATGTTCAGTGTAATCTAACAATAGGTTTGGGAAAAAAAACCAAAGCAAAATGAAACCTTACCTTATTTCTGAGTAAAGGCCAGGATTAAACACTGACTTGCAAAGCACTGTTTTTCAGTTGCATTAGAAGCATATTGAAGTATTTCTTTCCTCATGATCTATTTCTGTGATGAAAGATGGCTGCAAACAATTTGCCAAGCAGTGATTGCATGTGGAAAAGCTAGTGCAAGTCAGATGGTATTTTATATTGCGTATGATATACCTTCCATTGCTTTTGACCACATAGTTTGTCTTCCCTAATCCTTGGATGCTATTCATGGTTCTTGATTTATAAGCTCTTTGAGGAAGAATTTGTTTATGTGAGTACACGTGGTGACTCTGTCCATGTGAACATGGATAAATGAGCTAGATGTCTCATGACCTAACCTTCAGGTGAAGTCATCTATATGTCATATCATCATCAGGGAGTATTTGACTTGTTGATATAATATGATCCTGGGTTGATGGCATGTTTTAAAGTCTTCAGAAATATTTATTATTATTTATGAAGTTAACAGCTGCTGCCTTTTTAAGGTGCAGTCCAGTGAATGGAAGTCAGGAAAGCCCAAAGCTCTTGTCACTTTAGGCTTAGAGGGTATACCTTGGTCCTCACTTATAGCAGCTGCTTCTCCAAATTCTGCAGTATTTCTGTTTCAGTTGTTGCATCTCCTGAGCATCTCAGGTGTGGGTGTGTATGCATGCACAAAGGCACACGCTCACATGCAGAGTAATGTTGCAGTATTGTAAATGTGTCTAATTCATGGACTTCAATGCTGTAAATGAGAGAAGAATTTGGCTTATCTGTCTGTAGCTTGAACAGTCCAAAAGGAACAAAACAGTGGTCAAAATGCAGAAAGGCAAGGCTGCTATTCAGAGGGACCTGGCCAGGCTGAAGAAGTGGGCTGAGGGAAATGTTAATGTACTCAACAAGAGTGAATTTTCAGGCCTTTCATCATACTCAACTTTCCATCAACCAGGCTCCCCAGTTCCTTTCTGCAGCACTGTTCTCCAGCATCTCATTCTCCAGTCTGTCAGGACATCCAAGGTTGCCCCATGCCAGGTGCAGAATCTGGCACTTGTCCTTGTTAAATTTCATATGGTTGGTGATTGCCCAACCCTCTAATTTGTCTAGGTCTCTTTCCAGGGCCTCTCTGCCTTTGATTTATCAATTAGATACCGGGAAAATGTTAGGTTTTTTGTGAGGATGCTAAAATAGTGGAACACGTTGCCCAGATGGGTTGTGGAGCCTCCATCCTTGACGGTATCCAACTTGACTGGACACAACCCGGCCAAAAAGATCTCATTGTACCTGCTGTGAGCAGGGGATGCAACAAATGACCTCTGGAGTCAATTCCCAGCCAAAGCCATGGATCTGTGATTCTGCTGCATGAGGCCTGGGTTTGCTTCCATGTTGTTCATACCTTAGATTATTGTTATACTCTTGATGCCTGTGGGAATGTTTTCAGAATTAAACTCATCTGGCAATCTGTGATTGCTGAATCTTCTGCTCTGCTTTGTGGTTTTTCCAGCCTGCTTCTTGCTGTTTCAGGGCTGTGCAGCAGGCAGCTCTGTCCTGTTTGGACAAATGCTTGCTGAAATCACAGCCAGTTCTTGGACCACCTGCTCCAGTCTGTATTTATCATGTCCTGCTCTGTGCTACGGCTGCTCCCCTCTCCTGGGAGCTGCATCACTTACATAAAGTGTTCCCCTTTGCTGTCCCTTCTCCCAGGACTGGTGCTTAATTGACAGCTAGCCCTTTTCACACTTGTTCACCTTGATGCTTTTTTGCCATGTGCTCCTGGTGTGGGAGACATGGGTGAGATGGAATTACAAGGACACCCCTGTCTTGGTGGCTCTTGCCTATGCTTTGCAGGTTGGGAGGCCTAGGCAGTTTAAATTAACTGCTGTCCTAAGAAGTGACTTGTAGAAAATGCGCTCTAACTACTTGCTTTAAGATTTCTTCTCCTTTTTTGGGCCTACATGGTGCCCTTTTTGTGCATAGGAGGGATGGGGAATAATGCTATATGAATTGATTTCTGGTGTTTATTTTTTCTCTAAATATGATTTCAAGTTCCAGCACATTGATGTGATTTTAACTGGGTAAATGATATATTCTTTGTAAAACCTTTTGGTAGTTCACCTGGCCCTGTGGTTGCTGAGAGTTATGCCTGCCAGTAGAGTGTTCATCTTCTGGGACACATGATACCCCAAGTGCCATTTTTCTGTAATAGAGAACTTTGCTACTTTGCCAAGGAAATATGAATGATTCTTGCACATCTTCCTTTTTCTTTCAGTGCTGCCTCTCTCAGCATCCTCATAGCCTCGAGCAGGAGAGCATGCTCTCTGAATCCTGCTTGCTCCTATTTCTTTTTCAGGATCAGGATGCTTTCCTTTGGGTGACTCACTGAAACCTACCCTTACTCCTAAAGGGGACTCATGGTTGTCTGAGTCTTCAGCTGTGACTAGCCTGTAACCCCCATCTTCTCCCTCTCCCTTCTGTGTGTCAGGTCGCATCTCCTCAACGTCATATCTGAGAGACTCAAAATCCTTGCCTGGAGGGATTTTCCCAAGCTACTGTACAAAGAGAGAAATTGGGTAGACAGTAAAGCCATGGAGGAAGAAATAAATGTGATGGTAGGAAGGGAGTAAAGAAGTCCCCTCAAGGATGGAACAGCATGCGAGAGGTCAGCCCAGTCCTGGGGCACAGAAAATATCTAATGCTTTTGTCCAGACTTGAGTAGAGGTGGACTTGAGACATGTTGTCCCATGTGTGATTAAATGCATATTACATAATGCTTTCTAAACCTGCACCATTAGGCAGAGCTGCGCTTGTAAGGATTTCTTAACAAATTCAAATTATTTGGGTTCCGACGGCCTCTCAGCCATAATGTGTTTCTAACAGGTCCTTGAGATATCCTCAGGAAAAGACCGAGCATTTCCTTTATATATATGCATCTTACAGGGAGATGGTCTGCTTAAAACAGGTAATATTTACTTTACATTTCATGAGGCCAATGAAAAGACTTCCAGAAAGCTTCTAGAAGGAGTTGGTAGTTTTTTAATGCACACAGTTCTGCACCCACTGTGGAATAAATCGATAGTTGACCTTGTTCTTGCAGATAAAGAAGAGTTAATAGCTGACCTGAAGTCCCACTGTTGCCTAGGTACCGGTGATTGTTATTTGTCTGTATTTGCTTTGTGCAAACAGAATATGGCATCAGGCAGCACTGTAAGGAGCTTTAGAATAGTCTGTTTCTTGGAGTTTAAACAATTGGCAGGATAACTGCCCAGGAAGGTACCTTTAAAAGGGAAGTATTAATGGAAGCCATAAAGTATTCAGCAGCATCATACTGATGGCCAGGAAGGCATGACTCCACAGTTGGGGAAACTGTGGTAATAAAACTCAAAGCATTCTGCACTTTAGACAAGGAGGAGGAAGTAAATAGCAGTGAATATAGGTGCAAACTTCAGCAAAGAAGCAGGTGAGAAATTAAATGTGCTAGTCATGGAGATACTGGTGACCTAAGTTTAGAGAACCCATCAGGTTTTTTACATGCAAAGATAAAAGGTCTGTGTATGGGTACAGTATAAAATCTGGAGGTAGTTGTGTGTTTTTGGGGAAAAAACCCCACAAACAACAGCAAAACAAATCATGAAACAGGGCAAAAACAACCCCCAACTGATTGTGTTTAGAGTTTAAGAGGGGTTATTTTTACCTCATCTGGTTTTCTACATAATTAATAACAGAGAAGGATGGGACAGTACTCACTAATATTTGAAAAACAGCAGATCTAGATAAGGTATGTCCAACAATAATAGCCAAAGCAAGGAGTTCATTATTCATCAATACAAATTTTTTAAGGCAATTCTTGTAAGCTAGGGGAGTTGCAGAAGGGTGGAACACACCCACCAAGATTCACTATTGTAAAAAACCTGAAAGGGATGACCCAAAGAGCTGAGAACTCTTTATCTGTATTTTGATCCAAGATAAAAATAATTTTGGAACATATTAGAGAAGCCTATTAGAATCTGAAAAAAAAAATGTTGGTATCTATTTAGCAGAACTTTGTAATATACATCTTTGCAGACAAATGCTGTCTCGTCTATTTTGACAAGATTGTACAAAGCAATACTGATAGAGTGAAACATTGCTCAACCAACTGTATTTCTCCAAGTGACCAAATTTTAAGAAAAATAATACTTATCTCAAGCACAACACACATTAGAGGGATTAAAACCCTCTAATGATAGATAATAAAAAGTAGTAGTTACTTGGGAGATAGCTGTGATCAAGACTGTTTCTATTGTCAATTTCCCCAGGGATCTGTTTCTATCGCTGTCTTGTTTAGTATCTGTATCAGCCCATGGAGATGGTGCTATTAAAACCTTGCCAGTAAGGTTTGCACTTAGAAAACTATTTGAGGAGGAGGAAGGAGATAGATAAGGTTACTGTTAGAGAATGAGTAGATATGCCTGGTTGACTGATGATAAATCCAACAAAAACGTGTTTGATGCAGCTCATTGCAGAGCACTGAGTATGTGGGAACTGGACTGTGCTCC